CTTCAAGTTAATAGTTGTTGTTTGAGCCTGAACTAGTTAGGTGAGAGTATCTGCTTCCACTCTTTCACCATGTATTTGGTGTGCTTGCATTGCGGCCTGAACTGCCTTGTCAAATAAAATTTCTGTGGCGTGATAGCCAACGCTCGCCAAACGAATACCAATCGATAAAATCTCGTCTCGCACTCTGCGTGCACATTTGGCCGCATGGAATGACCCTTAATGTTACTAAAGTGTGGGCCAGATGAATCATCCATAGTCTACCGTCATATCCGGCCCACTTTACGCTTGCCGAACGCTCTCCGTAGGCCGCGTGCATTCGTGTATTCACGCTTGATGTTTCCTCCATCTTATCCCCGCCGATGAGACAGACTGATGTCCGCTACTCGGTTCAGACAGAAGAGCGGAGTTTTCGACCGCAATCACAACACAACTCCACAACACGTACAGTTTCGTGTCCACAATACAATTTAAAACCTAGACCAGACCACTCGCGTCGGACAAGCAATAACAAGTTGGATTTGATAGACACCTCGAAACAACGGACAGACAAAATGGCCTGTTTGTTGCTCCTTGCAAACAACCTTAATTTGGCCACGTGCATGCATGAGGGTTTGTCTTTAAAGGAAAAGATTGATGAGGTTAGTCACTGTGTGATGAACTCTCTGTCTTTCATACATTGTCTCCCTATTCAGCAACATGTTTAGTCAGCGTTAAACTCTCAGACAAACACCATGGACCAAAACTGATTGTATAAATCAGTAGTGTGCATGCACTGCCTTGACCAGTTACACACCATCTTCTCGCCCAGTTTAGGCCGATAGAAATAAGCACATAGATGCTACCAATGGTTTCAGAAGCTAAAAGGATTTACTGTGTTCTCCGTTTTGACGCGTAAGCGCACGTGAAGGCATTGGCTATCAGATTAACGAAAACATTTCGGTGTTCCTTCGTATCGAAATCTGTGAAGCTGCTTATGGTGATTCATATTGCCAAGACATGAACGTATTTGCGATTGTAGCCCTGTTAGCAATTTCTATCCTATGCTAATTTGAGGTTATTTGGTTGAGTTATAACAAATCGCGAAGAAATTAAGGCCGTGTGCGGTTTAATGTAAAAACTTGGTTCACATTTATTGGGTTTCATATGTTACCATGTTTATGTGCAGCCTATCCTTTCTGTGGAACAGGGTAGAATGAAGTCAAAACGTTACATTCTCACCGCGAAGCACCTTGAGAATCTGTTGACCGCTGAGTTTAATTTCCCTATTAATGACTGGAAGCTTACTACGTTGTGAACCAGTGCGGAAAACCGGAAAGTAAATTGCCCCATAACCATGTCCGATTCGATAGAAATGTTTGAGATAGAATAGGAAAATAGATGCCTAAATTTTCTGCTCGAAATGGATTCTGTTGGAAATGCACTTGTACCGAATGACCAACATTTTTACTTCTGTAATTGTACCATGGCAATCGATTTATATCGACACTGCAACGATGGATCATTCAACAGGTTCTCTTTGTATGCACCGGATTCTTTCTTATCTAATCACGGTGTATACGTTTCGGCACTTCTTGATTTGATACAACACCGACAGTTCACGTGAATAGTTAGTCACAGTAAACGGAAAAATAAAAGAAAAAAATCATTTTGTTCTCAGCCTTGTTGATTCCTTTCACACACACACCTACAAGTGTAAATATTCACTAAGATAGTCTCCAAAAACGCATGACTAAAACTACCCGTAAGTTGTATGAGAATGTTATGCGCTTTTTTTAGCTTTGTTTCGGAATATGCGATGATGAGGTTTAACTTTTCAATTGATGAGAAAATGAAAAGTTTATTATTGGTTCTCATAGCGTTGCAAACTCGTTTTGATTTTTAACAGATATGTCTAAGGCCAGTCTTTTAAGTCACACGACTTCCCTCCATCTCCAAAAAATGGCTTTTTGACACCAGTGGTTCGTGACAACACATCTTCATTGTTGGTATGAACCGAATAGGTAAATTGTTAGGTTCTGCCCGGCAATTTGTTACTTACTTGTGAATGGCAGTGTCATGTCCAAGTCTCTGTATGTTAGGGGGGGGGGGGTTCTTGGTGTCACTTTTTCCTTGCACATCGGAAAATGCTCCCATACAACCAAGTATCTCAAAAGGCTTCTGCTGAAGAAGTTCTCCTTACTTTCTCTACGTGGCGAAAATGCATTTCTCAGCGAATTAAGGGAGAGAGAAGATGCAGCATCTGGGGCCATAACCGAGTGGGTGAAGCACTGGCAGTTTACTTAGGGTAGTTGACTAAACGCTTTAATTCATAATCGATTGAGAAGACGTGTATGAGCGGCACACCTTGGTTGCGGCGTGGGCCATCGGTTTGGTCTGGATTCAGGGTGAATTGTTGAACTTGAACCTTTGATCCCATCCAAACGTATATGATCTGATGAACTGGACACTGGTCCGCAATGAACTGCGGTTTCCGAACAGCGCTGGTCAGGNGCTTTGACAAGCCGAATACTCCGGTTGTGAATCTTCAAGAAAATTTACCTGTTTTGGCTTGAGCAACCTGGCATTATTCTGCTCACTGTCAGATATGGATGTTTTTCCTTGTTATAAAGATTGCCGTAACGTATATATATATATATATGGAAAATAAAAGGATATTTTGAAACAGTCAAATTAATATAAACTTTATTCACGAATTTAGGGTGAGTTTTCAGCTTTTTCTATTGTTAGTACTGCGAATATTCTGGATGAAATTGCAACTGAATAATAAAATTCATGGAACGTAAAATTAGCTAAGCAAGCAAACGTGCACGAATTTCATTGGTTATTTTGTGCGGGTCGGTAAACGTACGCGATAAATATGGAAGAATGGAATCGTACGGGAACATAGAACTAGAAAACTAGCCCGCGTGACGGATGTGAACGTGGCTCTATACAGTTCACTAAGTAAATTAAGGAAGTAAAACCTCTGCAAGAACATCTGAGGTAAATTCGTTAGACGCATCACTATGTCTTGCAATTTTAAAAATGTGAGTATTGTTTGATGATATTTTCTTCTTCCGGTTCTTTACTCTTACTTTTCAATTTTTAATGACCTTTCTTGCTTGGATCTAGGATAGGTTCATGGTTAAATAAACGAAGAAGCCTGAGAATATATTACAAAGTGGCCTTCACAATACTACCGTACATTTTACGTCTTATATGTGTCTCTATATCTTGTACAGCGGTATAATACCTTTACAATTACAATTGATGGTGACCGCCATGTTTAATCGCGGCTCAGATTGGCTCACGTGATATTGGTTACCACACACATTTATAATTTTGTATTGCAGAGAGATTGCTTTTCAGGTGAAAAACTGCCACGTCCTCAGACATTTTTCGCGATCGCTTATTCAGTAAATGAATCCCTACCTGTTTGTGGTTCATCACTTAAGTGGTCATTCTTCTATTCGTAACCCACGGACGATCTTGACTACGTACAGTTCTACTGATATACTCCGAACATATTCGACTAAGTTATTACCCTCGGCGGCTAAGAGGAAAAAGAACAATAAATTGTATTACTCCTGCAAAAATGAGCAATTTTCTATGAGCTGATCGACTTCTCTCGGGTAATTGGGTTGTATATAGATGTTCAAGTTATATCATCCCGAATGTGGTCTGCATTGGTTTCAACGCGTGCGCACTGCTCGTATGGTGGAATAGGGCTGAAAGAATTTTATAGTGCCTTCCGGCACTATATACGAAAAATTTCATTCCGCAGTGTTTTGATATACTCCAAGTGTATTTTATCCTATATAACTAAAAAAAAATCGTTAGTAGAAAGATGAAATATACACATTGTGAGTGAAAACAGTTTCTAGATGTATTCCTCGAATACTAATAATTTGACGTTCTCACATGTGCACACGAAATATCACGAGTAAAACTCGTCAATATCTTTCCCTGTTTACCTACTGCTGATCGCAAAACCATGATTTGGTGGATCAGGGAGGGTTTCCGGGATTTTCGTTTCTTGATCAAAGTTTACTGATTTGTCTCAAAAATATCGACACATCAGAAAATCTCCAATGCATTTTAATCGACTTTGATGCTTCCGTAAATTTTCTTCCCTTTCCTTATGTCTGAAGTGAGATAAGTAAGATGAGAACAATGTTTCTTACTGGTGTCTGCTAATAGGAATACCAATGTTGCCAGTGGTTGCTCACCTCTTATGGTAGTAATCTTCCGTATAGCCCTTCGAAATCAGTGTGCAAATGGACTCTTGAACTACCCTTATGAAACACCGACTTGAGTATAATTCAAACTGTTGGTAGTGTAACTATTTTTTCAAAGGCATGAGATCGAGTCGAGTGCAAATCTTTTATCACGGTGTCAAGTAGTGGTGACGTTTTACTGTCGCTTAGGCAGCATGGCACTGTTCTACGTTGTCTTTGTTACCACACCGTTCAGAGGCGTATCGTGTACAAAATGCCAGTAGTGCTCCATCATGCTTTGTGCCTTCTTGCTAATAAAGCTACACAGTGGATGAAATTTCGTATGCTGATGTCTTAACACACCAGTGTATCTCGAGCACGTGAACTTGGTTCTTGAACTGGCCCATTTCTCGTATAATGATGAACCTAAGGGATGTGAACGGTCATCATTTTGCCTCCTCCCCCCCCCCCCCCCCCGCCTCTCTGCACTCGACCACTGAGAGACCATTGATTAAAGCGACTACTTAATCATCATCCTCAACAACCTTTGTTGTTCGAGATCAGGTTATATTGTTCACAGTATTAGCATTTTGTGTGCTAAATTTGCATCCGGATGCCGCCAGCTTAGCTTGTTTTTGTTAGTCCAAGCAACTCATTTCGCTTCCGGTTCAAGCACACACCTATTTCATCATTCGCTCCATCTTTCCATGTCATAATGATACTCCGATTTTGAGGATAATAACCCTCTACTAAACCGGTGTATTTGAACTATTCCCTATTTGTTTTTCTGGCACGCATTCACAGATGTTCGACTGGATCTGGATGAAATCAACACGTGGCTCAATCTACTTCAATCCAGTAAGTGAAGCAATCACGTTTTATTGACTAAGCCCCTTGCCAAAAAGAGCCTTTGATCTGTTTATTCGCGTGATTCGCTAAACCCCGGAATAAATCATGTTTTCCTTAAGTTCACCCTCCCTGCTGCATTCCTCATTTGTCACTTATGCTACTGTCAATTTCTTTCTCCCTCACACACATTTTGAGAGCTTATACTATTCCCACCATGCCTATCGGTTAAGGATAGACAGCTATTTTGTTCGACAACACTATTCCATCGACAAGATCTAACCGGACCCCTAGCTGGACAAGTGGACAATCAGATTTCAGTCAGCGTGCTAAAACACATCAGGGTGCTACTCAGATGACAGTGTGGCACGAACGTAATTCGAGTGCCAACTTGGGTTCCACTTATTGGAGCCTAATCCGGACGCACTCAGAATGACACACCCAACAGGTTACTCCCAGTTTTTCCGGATTATTGCCATCATTGCCACCAGCTAGGGCACGCGTGCACACACCTGCATGAACTCGCTCTCGCCCACTTGCATCCATCTCTCTATGGTCTCTATGGTCTTTCCGTTTCTGTTCTCTCCTGTGTGCCCCTCCTCCCCCCACCCCCACCCACGCATCTATAGACCTGAATCTACGTGCACATGTACATCTACGATGGAGTATTTTGTTTCACCATGTTCCCCCGTTTTGACATATTCACGCCATATTATTGTTGAAAGCGTTTCTACGATGAAGTGGGTCACTGTGTGTGTTTGTTTGCCTCGCGTAGTTGTGTTATCTGGAAATCACCCAGTTACGGGGCAAATTCACTTTGCAGTTAAACAATTATTGTATCCGTGTACAAATTGATGGTGAAAATTCCCTAAGGGTGTAAATACGGCGGTCGGATTCTCATAAACACATCAGGTTTGCTAAATAAACTCCTCGAACGGTCTGGAAGTCTCTCAAAATATGCTAGATTTAAATTAGTTTGTCACGACTCGTTTTTCTTCGAAACAGTGTATCCGGAAAAGAACGAAGAGCAGACGAGGAGTCGGAGAACGAATGCCAATCGATCTTAACCAGCCCGATGCGGCGTGAGTGAAAAAAGGTAATCGTTCCGACTGAATCGATCGATCAGTCTCGGCCAGTGAAGAATCAATCAAGAGAACAGACAGGATAATGAGATTAGAGGGTAATGTTGTGCTTTATTAATCAACCAAATGTACTACAGTTATATAATTCTTAGTGAAAATGGGTGGGAAAATACGGAACAGGTTATGAGAGGAGAGTGGTTTGAAATGTGAATTCACACCGGTACGTCAAAATCACCTAATCGATGATCTGATCGTTATCATTGATGATTTTCGATATACACGTTACGTAAATGAATCGACGACGGATGGAGATTGTACACATACCGATGGATAAGCATGTGCGTGTCTACGATTTACTAAAATGTGAAGTTTATTCATGTATAGGCGACGGAAGTTCAATAATGAATGAGGTGTTATCGATTATTTATAATAGACGGGCTTACATTCAATGAAACACATTTCTTCCACTGATAGATGCTATAAAGCGGACTTCATTAAGTTATAAAGAATTGGTTAGGTGGCTCTCGTCCGTGTCCCCTCATGCATTCATGGAACGCACAAGTACGCCCACTCTACTCTAGTCTGACATGCGCGCCGCTAGCTCAGAATATTATAACAATTGACTAGGTCAACCACTCAGATCGCACTATCTCTAATTGTCGATTGATCGTTGATTCCCGCTAATCAGTGATCAAAACGCTCATATTCATTCACAATCACTAACACTGAGAGTGGGCTTCTTTCGCGATTTAGGACGCCCTCAGAGGGTAAAACAGTGGATAGCTGTGCAATTTTCTCGTAGTATTTGCTAAAACTAAACTGTCATTTTGGACTATTGCATATATCTATGTAATTATCACCTTCGAATTTACGGTGAATTCGTTCTATTACTGTTCATCTGGGGATGCACCAAAGGGAAACAATTTATTTAACTGGTAGTGCTTTTGTGCGGGAAACTGACCCTTAAAATTCAA